TCAAAATGAAGAAGACCCCTGAAATCTCTTTAGAAAGGTCACTGCTTTCTTTTTTTGTATGACATTTATTGGTCACTAAAAGCCCGCAGAACAATTGGACACCATAAGATCAGCAGATAAACAGCCACCTCAAAATAAAACGTGTCTCTCTTTAGCAAATGGAGACACGGATACTGTACCCTTCCATCAAGTTTCCTCGGATTGCCTGCTAAAATGTTCTCCTTAGTCTTCAAACAGGATAAACGTGTGTCTTTTCCCAGCCTTGCTTGTCAGTTTTATTGTTTTAATCTTTCATTTATCAACTTTAGCTCTGTTTCCCTATCGTTTCTGTTTTGCAGGGTGTCTAAAAAATTTACCTTTGTGTCACATTAAACTTAATGCACAGGGAACCATAGTGCCAAGGTTTTAGTAAAGTAAATTCCTATCTCTCTGATCAACCAAAAAAACTAAAGTAACATTTATTATAAGAGCAATTTAGGGTATTGGTAAGAACTGAGGCACAACTAATTTTGTGGTGAAAGTAGGTTTTTATGTTTATGCGGTATGCTTGTGCTTAAACTAAAGGTTGGATTTTTCTAAGGTTTTGAGTTTGAAATTCCTTCCCACAACCATCAGCACCTTTAACAACACTGAAGAAACTTGTTTAATAGGTGTTAAAAGGACATTTAATTTCACTTTGCTGTGTCTTTTTTGATTAAAATTAAATTAATGTTTCAGGAAATTCAGATTTCGGTACGGGTTTATAGAAAGCAGTCAGTTTCCTGCTTTAGGCCAACAAATGAAAAGCTAACTATCTAGCAGGACTCATAAGAGCACATCAGTTACTTTGGTTAGAGCTTCCCTTTCCTTTTTTTTTTATACTGGTTGAATAGCAGTTAGCATTGCAGATATAGAGGGAAAACAAAGACTGGAGTGCCACACAACACTAGAAAAAACTAGGATTTACAATCAATTATTTCTTTTTTCCCCCCGTCTGTTAGTGTTTCTGAACACTTTCACTGAACAGACGACAATAGATTACCCCTTGTCCAAACATCACTTCATGTCTTCACGCTCTCATCCTACTCATAGTTTTCCTCATTACATCTAAGACAAAAAAGTAAAAAAAAGTTTTGCTTCCCATCCAGGAAGATTTTTCAATTATTTTTTAATCACCAGCTACTTTTAAGACACTTCTTCCATATTTTTTTTAATGTAGCTTCCCAATCTCCCTATTTTTGTGGAGCTGGTAAACTTACAGCTTTGTTGGCCTACATACACATACAGACTGTTTCGCTATGTTTATCAGGACATTCCCTTGATTTTCAAATATTTTGGACAACGGTAATCAAATTCCTTAAATCACATGGGCATTAAACCTAACAAAAGAGGAAATTCTGGTTCATTATGACCAGTCCCCCCCCCCCCCCCCCCCCCCCCATCTTATTAAGAACTCCTGAACATGATGAAGTCAGTGAGGTATCAGAGGTTATCTCCCTCTAGGCTTGCATGGAAGCTGCTGCTGCTGCCATTCAGCTTGGCTGCACAGAGCAATGCAACTTGCAGACGAAGAAGGCTCAAGTTACTATTACTGGCTGCAAAATACCCTGTAAGACTTCAGCTGTTATCTTTTATGTAAAAGTATCTTGAAATAAATAGTTTTACATTTAAGAACATGTATTATAACCCATTGTTCCTTCTGATCAGAACTCTCTTAGCACTTCAGCAAAAAACAAAACAAAACAGCCCCATTAGCTTTTTTTGTTTTCCGCACAAACAACCACCTGCACTTCCTACTGACTGTCCTAGTCATGTTTAACCCACAACCATCACAAAACATAAATAACTATTTGAGTTACAATGAAAACACTACCTAGTGTAAATTATGTATGGTAAGGCTTTAAATGCTTTAAAGACCCAGACTCCCTGAAACATTACAGGAAGGGTCAGTCTCAGACTTGAGGAGCAAGGATACGTCTCTAGAAAGAAAAGGTGTAAGTTTCTGGATCTTGTTTGAATTATGAGTTAAAGATTTGGCATATAGGGTCCCAGAAAGATAGACATTCAGAATTTGTGTGATACAAGTAAAAAAAAAAAAATGCTGCTGCCAGAGACAAACATCTGGTCATCACTTATGTAAGCAAAACAATACTGTGTTTTTCTCACCACAGATGGTAAAATGTGTTGTCCTTTCAACACTTATCATACAGATGTTTTGCAAGAATATTAAATAAATAATGACCAGGGTCAAATTTTAGAAAGCACCTTTTTCTGTTGTCATGAAGGAAAGTTAATCATAGTCATTACCAGATAATCTACAACCTTTACCAGGTCTCTGGACGGGCAACCAGCTCATCTTTAGGACACCTAAGAACTCAGATTTTTTTGTTTTGTTATTTTAGCATTTAGCTGTCAATCTACAAAAGCTCCTCCTCCTCCAAAACATTTTGCCATTTTCCGATTAAATGCCACTTGAACAAACATAGAGTTAATACCTTGGTTTGGATCGTACGCTTTGTTCTCAAACTTTCTCAGATCATAACTGAAACCTGGGCTTTCTGCTGTAGCCTCTTTGGGGTGACGCATAGTTACAACTTCATTCATAGAAGGAGCCAAGCTAATCTGCAGGCAGAGAAAACCATACGCAGGAATGCAGGTTTATCCCTCGTGAGGAGGCTACATACTGGGGCGCAGGATTCAAACCAGGCCAGGAGATATATGCTTAAGAGCAATTAAGTCTTAGCACAGAACTGATTAATGAAAATATTGGAGTGTTGGAGGAGAAATTATGCTCTTAGATTAAAGTCAAATCCTTTTCTTTTGAGATATAAAAAGTGTCTGTACTATTGGTCATTCCATAAACTACTGATAACTCATGTTTGCTGACCACCGTCCTTAATGAGCATCAGAATCAGCGAGTTCACAGTTTAGGTTCAAACTGTAATCTGAGCTAATCTGGATTATACGTTTTAACACCATCAGTCAACCTTCTCTCCTTTTTCCTTAATCTTTGGCTACCAGTTACACAACAGCCATTGAAATCTCACTGGGACTCACTGTTTCTCTGTGTGAGTGTGTGGGTTGGTGTTCTGGCAGGATACCGCCGTCGGTTCGCTGATTTTCCTCTGCTGCTGCAGCACAAGAATTAATCCCAAATGTAGTCCAGGTTGAGGGATTTGAGGCTGCATGTGGTGGTATTTTAGAAAGACTGAAACAAGGACATGAAGTGGTGTTTCACTGACCTGGAATTGCTTTTAGTTTCTAACCACTGATGCAAAATGTCGGGAGGGGGGAGGATGAATAGGGAAGAAGCAGATCCCCTATCTGTCAGCATCAAATTCAAACTATCTTAAATTGTTTAAAAAGGGATTGTTTTTGTTCCTTGTGTGAATTAAGGGTTCGTAAAAATAAGAACTGTTGTTTTGTCCTGCAGAACACTTTTGCACTTCTCATCCCCTCTCCATGTTGCTCTTTTTCAACAAAGTTGTAGAGAAAGGTGCAAAGTTCAGCCTATCTATAAATGTGAAGACAAAAGCACAACGGTAAACCCATGAAAACATAGCGGCTGCTGTAACTGGCTGGCTAACCAAAGCGGTCATTAATCAGGAATGTCCCGACAGAACTTCTTCATTAAGGTCAATTTTGAGTATTGGCTGATATCAGTATTGACCTAATACTGCACCATCACATATCATAGAGGGTTTTATTACTTATTTAGTAGGGTGGGATGATGACAATGTGCTTGATCAGAGGGTATTACCAGAACAGAGGAGAACAACAGGCCCATTGACTATTAACCATTTGGTTACATTAAACTTAAACGTACAGATATTCTTTAGTTAAATGAAAAATTATATATTAAAGGACCAGAGGATTGTGCATGACAAGTTTTGCATTCAGCTACAACATCTTTTTTGGGACTTTAATAAGACGAACAGCCACCCTACCCATTTAGCTCCTACTCTATGTATTGTAGCATCTGTGATTTAGGCTCTTTGTGTGACTTACAAGTGCTGTTAAATGTACGTGCTGGAGCAAACTAAATAAAGGAGCTGAACTAAACCTACAGAACTACAATACAATTTTTTATTTTTCATGTGTAGGAATGGTCATCAACAGTAAGTCAAGTTCAGACCTAAAGGAAGGGGAGAATCTGTAACCTATTCTCTAAATCTACAAACAGCACTGCTTTTTTTTTTTTAGTAAAACAACGGGAAACCATGTATCTCTGTCTGTTCAGTTCACATTAATGTTGTCCTTTGTAAACTTTTAGTTAATTGCCTGATGAGATTGTGACAGCAAGTTTATATAAATAACTTTTTCATAATTTTCTAAGAAGTTTCCATAAAACACGTACATCAAAATTGCAAGAAAAAACAGGATAGTATTTCATTGCAATGTCCTCTTAAAATAATGTCCCCATGTCATTTTTTTCAGGTTTTTTTAGTAGACAAAAAAAAAAAACTCTTTCCTTTTTAAAGCAGGGGTGGAAATGCAGGATTTACATAACTGGTGATTTTTTCCATTTAACAAGCAGCATCATGTGGGAAAAGATAAACGAAAAAAATATCATTTTTGGCAAAAAAAAAAAAAAAATCTTTTAGGAATATGGCGATATGTTTACTGAGTCAAAAAGTAAAAAAGTAAAAAAAAAAGTAAAAGTAAGTTATCGCATGTGACAAGAGCACCTTCTTCCACTTGTTGGATCTGTCTCTCATTTGGCGTGTGGCAACCATCAATAATTGACTTCTTCTGGCTTCCTTTAAAAAAAAAAAAATCTTTACATTTCTTTTGCTAAATACCTAATTTAGAGATTGAAGAATCAACACTTATCCTCCAAACAGATGACTCCAAAACCTTGAAGTATCTCTTAGTGTTAAACTTGATAGAACCACTTAGGGGCTCTTTGATGTTTTGTGAAGTATTTATCTTTTGGTCTGTTGTGTGAAAAATACTCAGCTGTCTCTTTGTCTTCCTGTTTGCATCCATCCCCTGTCCCTCTTCCTGTCCCCTCTCTGCAGGCTGTAACAGGGAAGAGCTTTGGAAACAAAGACTTCCGCAGTGCGCTGGAAAACGGCATCCTGTTATGCGAGTAGGTTCCTGACATCACTCTCTTCAGTTTCTGATGCCTGACCTAGCAGCAGGAATCCATAAATCTCTTCTGTTCCCCTTTTCTACACAGGCTGCTGAGTGCAATAAAACCAGGACTGGTCAAGAAGATCAACAGACTGCCCACCCCCATCGCTGGGCTGGTAAGCAGACACCCCCACAGTGTGATATCCAGCCTATAAACTAACGTCTTGATAAGTGCTAACTTCCTGCTGTTTCTTCCAGGATAACCTGTCAGTCTTCCTACGAGGATGTGAGGAGTTGGGCTTGAAGGGCTCCCAGCTGTTTGACCCTGGAGATTTACAGGACACTTCCATACGAGCTAATTTCAAGTAAATGAGCTAATCCCTACAAAACTGTAAATATATGCATGCTTGAATCCTAGATTGTATATTAGCTAATATACTTCACTCTTTTAGGGACTCTGACTGCACCCGCAAACTAAAAAATGTAAGTTGTATTCTCTAATTTCATTTATTTCCGTACGTTTCCTTCGCTTGTATATGATGTATTTATATATATATATATATATATAAACAATCAAGAAAAGTGAAAGCAAATATTGAATGTTTGCCTTTCAGGTGCTGAACACTGTTTTCTGGCTGGGAAAAGCTGCCAGTGGCTGTGCCTCCTACAGTGGACCTAATCTAAACCTCAGAGAGTTTGAAGGCCTTCTTGCACAAATGAGGCTGGTGAGTGAACTACTGACACTGGGTCCATTGCTCCCTAAACTGTGTAAAAATAAAATTTAAGATACAATTTTAGAAAAAAAAATCATTTTCCTACTTTTAAGTTGGCTGAATGGGAACAAACTTAGAGCAGCTTGAAGAAAACTGCTGTGTAGTAAAAACAGGCTCCTTAATCAGGCCTAGCTGATGGTAGGCAGCTAACTACTAATGACAGCAGAAGAGAAGGGGCTGTTTAGGGTGATGGGTACTGGTGGGTAAGAGGTTAAGTAGCATAGAGAGAACATGAAATAATGTGACAAAATGATCAAAAACGTCATAATAATTACATTTTTATAAAGTCCCTTAGGACATTTTTTAATTAAATGTGTTTGTAGTTTTATACTAGATGCTAAAATTAGGCAGAATAATACATTCTGTCCTTTAATGAGCAACCTAATATGACAATCGGATTTTTTGCTGTGCTGTGGTAGACAGCCTGCAGTCAGTTGCTTAGCAGGTGCTACTTGTAGCTAGCCAACCTTTATTTTTAAACAGTGTTATCATAATATGGGTGATGACACCTCTGAAGTTTCCATGCCACGGTTCTTGGTGTTTTTGTTATTGGGCAATGTTTCCAAAAACCTGCACTTGCCCTTCTTTTTGGTTGGAGTAAAGTGGACTTCAGTCACTATAACATCAGGAGCCATAAGGCTTTAGATAAAGGGTGAGGAAATAGCAGCTTTATGAAAAATAGTATCTATTGCTTCTGGGCATTAAACTTTGCATAATTTAAACCATTTTAAAGATTTAAAGAGAAAGAAAATTTGGTTTAGCAGGGGGAAAATAAAACATACAGGTAGACCTGGTTTTATTATTAGATATTACACGGCTTTTCTGTTCCACTTATTTTTTTATATTTTACTTTTTTATAGGATAGCGATGATTGTGGTGACAGCTCCCAAAAACGCAGCGTCCGAGACAGCGGCTACGACTGCTGGGACTCGGAGAGGAGCGAATCTCTGTCTCCGCCACGACATACTCGGGACAACTCCCTGGACAGGTCTTTTTCAACACCCAGTCTGCATTTGTATTCAAATTAAATTAACATTTTGATGTTTTTTTTATTTTTTATTACATCTATTACTGAAGAATACATATTTTATATTTCCCACTTTTACAGTCTGGATTCGTTTGGTTCACGCTCCCAGCACAGTCCCTCTCCTGATGTTGTGAATCGAGGCAACAGTGATGGTCAGGAATCTTTTTTGTATTTTTATCCCATTTAGAGAGACCTAAACCAGCTTCTTGCAGTCCTATTCCTGTTTGCAGTTATTTTAAAATCACACAAGTAAAGGATAGAAACAGTCAGGAGCAGGAATCCCGAGCTATTCCTGTTAAGGCCAAACTATTAACCCATAGATAAACAGATGTTTATTTAGGTTTACCCTTGGAATAAGGTGACTAGTCAGCCTGAGTGCAAACAACAGCTGAACATCATAGCCTGGGTGTGTGTGTTCATGTTTATGCTGACTATTTAAAAGCTCTTCTGTTATACTCACTAATTCTCTGGAAACACATTTGTAATCAGGGCCGACAGACGTCAGTAAAATGTGTACAGATGTGTCCGATTCTTCTGCTTCTCCTCTGTTCAATGGCAGAGAGCGGCTTTGCTATATTTGCTGTTATAAGTGGGTAAAACGAATTTTTAATAGTCCACCAGAAAACTTCATCTGTGCAGTCATCAAGATTACGATCCTGCATTCAAATATTATTTCGCTGTCGGAGCCACTCTGTACACTGGCAGTGCTCTGTCACTGGGAATCCCGTTCAACAGCAGCCTCTGGCCCGATCGCCTCTTCGTGGTTTTCCGCTACTGTTCGCGATGGCTGGAAGGCCTTTTTCATGTACATAATCCAAACTGCAGGCATCAGAATAATAAAATCACAATCAAACACATTTTGCCAGCAGGTTTCGACATTTTAAGTTAATTAAGGTATTAATAAACTGTTTCAGAGGAGTGATCACAGCGCTCTGCATCAGCAGTAATGTGTCTGTCTCCCTGCCAGCTCCCAATCAGCGTGTCTGATTGACTGATGTTGCACATTGTGCAGCAAAAAGAAAAATGTTCCAACTCCAGCTGCGGCTGCTTCTGAAGCGCGTCATGCACATCAGCTGCTCCGAAGCTTGTGAAGCCCTGCTTGCGCCTTGATGCGCATCAACCATTGACCTTGCATGTAAACCAGCTGCTTCTGCATCGTGCGGTCTGAACGTAGCATTAGAGCTATGGAGTGAATTAAGTTGAGGTAAAGGGTGGTTTAGAGATGTGCTGGAAATGGATGGTTGGAGTGACACCATGAATACAGTAAGTCAAACAAATACAAAGTGGTAGAATGGGTAGAAATTATTATATCTGACTTTCAATTTTCCCAACTAATTACAGACCTGTTGATCCTTTTGGTGGTTTAATAACTTAAGAAATTCCCTTTTAATTTGAAAAAACCTTAAACATTATGCCTTTTTTAAGTTGAAAAAGTCTTGTTGAAAATTCAGATACCAACAGTCAAGTAACACTTTGTGCAGTTTGTTTATTTGTAACTTTTTTAAACTACAAGTCAACCAGAAAGGTCTGATCTTTTGACATTCTGTTCTAATTACAGGCAATATATTATAGATAATTTATTGATTGGGTTTTTGAAGTAAATAGCAAATGTAATAAATATGACATAATTATTTTCTTTGTTCCTTGATGACCAGGACGAGGCAGCGACTCGGAGGCTGATGCTCCCAGCAGGAAACCAGATGTGCGGAAAGATGACATGTTGGCCAGAAGAACAGCCAGCAGTGAATCCCGATGCCCAGTCCCCTTTAACCAGTTCCTTCCAAATCGAACCAACGCCAGTTGTTATATCCCGGCACCACGACGGAAACAAAACGTTGAAGAGGGAGAGCAACGGAGGTAATTTATTTTAAGAAAAAAAAAAAACTAAAAGCTTTTCTGTAGAGGTTAAAACCCACAAGTGTCTGGTCTTCAACACTCATCCATTCCTGCCATTACACACTGTTCCCCAGTCACCTTCAAACCACACCAGAACAGTTCAAAAGAACGGGAATGCACCACAAAACCCCCAAGATGGTGACTTGGGCACTGGAAAACAAAGGTGAACAAGTAAAACAGGAAGCGGACTTGGAGGTTTTGGAGGAGAGGAGGTTGGAGAAGTTGAAGAAGGCAGGAATCAGAGTCCTTCCTGCTGCTGCTCGTTACAACAGGTCAGGGTGGACGAGCATGTGAGCTGCTGCTTGTGTTTACTCACTAACAGATTGTGTTGGCAGATTTCTGGAATGGAAGATTCTTTATGATGCTGTTTGTGTCTAAATCATGGGTTTGATGGTGGTATTGTGAGAGTATATTGACCAGAAAAAGTGGTCTGTTGTGTTAAAAGTGTCACATGCTCCCTTATTGTCATCTGCTGCTGCTTTTCTAAAAAAAAATGTATAACGCATCAGAAGATAAACTAACCATCTAGACCGTCGGCAGTAATCCGCACAGTCCTGCTTCTGAGTGATAAATTCTACCAGAAGTTCAATTTCCCTTCTATGAAATTGACTGCCTCCTCCTTTACAACCCCAGCGCTCCCATAATGGAGGAACAGGAAGTGAGGTCACCATCTCCACCAAACATTATTCTTCGCTCGGAAAACGAATTTTTGAGCTCTCACAATTCGGCCTGCGACTCCTCCTCTGAGGGGGAGCAGGAACCGGAGGGGCGGAAGGTTCCTGATGTTCATAGGGATGATTTAGCGTCTCGACGAGTTCACCGGAGCCCAGCTAACTCCAGGGTTCACCAGTTTGTCCCGCCTCCTGTGTGCACCAACAAGGACAGAGAGCGCTGGGAAGGCATCAGGCGAGCTTCACAGCAAACCCTGCAGGAGAAGGAGCTCAGGTCAGCCCTGGAATCATTATTAGTACATTTACACATTTCTTCTACTCAGTTGCTTTACGGGTGTTGTTGTCTTGTTGGGTGACATACACTTCGCTCTGCTGGATAATGTGCTCCTCTTATTGTCTCTGGTTGGTGATTGGACAGTGAGAAGGAAGCAGTCTCTGACATCATAACTCGTAAAGAGAATCCCTTCCTGAAGGTAGATCGGGATGAGGAAGAAGAAGAGGGGAAAGATGAGGCAGTGCCTAACAGGCAGAGGGATGACCTGGCTCGTAGGCGGGGCCAGATTAGGCCCCTCCCTCAGAAGGACGGACCAATCAGCTTTGTTTCATCCTCCATGAGCCAAGCAGATATGCAGAAATGGGAGAGACTGAGGATGACTGAACCAAGGTGCCAAACACACTCCCTGCCTGAGAATGCTGCAAGGCTTTATAATGCACATTTAATGTCAAATGAAAAAACAGGACACCCTATGGAATAATCCATTCTGTCAAAAGAAATTCCTGCACATCGATACCTTTGTTTTGTTAGTCTCAGGTAAAGACAGTGAGGTAGTTACAGGTAACCACTGAATATTTCCCTTGTTATCACCATTACATACAAGAGATCAACAAAAATGTGTTTGTTTAGAAAAAATGGCAGACCCCCTCTTATTAGCTGAAATAAGCCCAGTCAGTCGCTTCTTGTCACCATCTAGCACTGTCTCAAACCTTCAATTCTGAGATGTTTCATTTAGAGCTTGCTTCATTTATTTGACAACTTTTAAAGGAAGTAAAGATCTCTGGACTCTGCCCATTACTTTCCATTTCTTTAATCTAAGCCAGTCCTTATTATACTTTCTGGTATATTTTGGGTCAATAGAAGTTTACGCAGCTTAGTCGTTGTTCACTTTTAATTGTTTTTTCACAGTTGTTTTCTTGTTTCAAACTTCCTCTGAAACAGGGTAGAATTGATGGTGAATTGGTGATAGTGAGCAATGATAACGGCAGCAATGATAACCTGCTGTAGATCCCATGACAGGTTGTCATTTAACAGTTTTAATCTACAGTTGGGATCAATAAAGTTTTATTAAACTGAGTTGAATGTTTGGGTCAGAAATGCAGATTTAACGATTTTTGTTGTATTTTTTAGGGAATATTTAATTCTGTTTCCAGAAGAGAGCCTCAGAGGCTGTAAAAGGGTGTCCTATTTTTTTCATCTGACTGTTTTCTGTTTTTGTGTTAAATTATTTAAAAAATAGCAAATTCCTCAATAAAGGAATGCCAATCAAAAGTTCAAGGTAATAATGTTTTTCTTAAACATCATTCTACGGACCGTTCACATGTTGCACCCTGGTAAAAAGAAAAGCAGGTAATTAATCCTTAAAATGAATCCCATATGAGTACAGAAACCTAATCTCTCTCAAACAGTATTTAGAAAAATCAAACCTACAATATTGTCCATTTGTTGTTGGTGGAGATGAATGTTCTGCCGTGTGACGTTTATTGTCATATCAAGAAATCGCACAGAGAAAAGAGTTCTTCACCCAGAGTCCGCATTGATTAAAACCTTAAAACCACCCAACTCCATCTTTCCTCCACACAGAGAGGACAATCTGCAAAGCTAACTATTAGAGAACTGAGATGAACAATGGCATTCTGGGAGAGAACGTTTCCATAGCAAGGAGGTTCTTAGCGATTGACTCTGCAGAAAGTTGGCAATCTTGACCCACTCTGCGTGTCAACATCTGCTGCCCCCGCTCAATAATTTTTAATTTCACTTCATGGTTGGATTGGTGGCATTACCAATCAGTTTCACTGTGTTTTAATATTGCTGACTGTTGTTGGTAAAATATTTAGGGGCAAGGAAATTTTACAATCTGACTTGTTGGACATATCGCCTCCTAACACAACACCATGCTGGAGCTCACTGAGAGCAACTCAGTCATACAAACAAATGTTGAGGGATTCCAAGTATTTGGGCGATCAATTGTTTTTAAGAGCTTTGTACACATTTTTACCAGGAGTGCCAATAAATGTGAGGGGGCTGTATGTGCTAATCTGTGTCTAAATTGGAAATTATGAACCCTGAGGTAATGCCTGTAGTGGCTTTTTAACAACCCAAGCATGAAAATAAGATATAAATATTGGACGTTTAACCTGTTATTTGATTGAACTAACATCTCCTTGTTAAACAATTGTAGTTCTGAATGAGTACGCCTTAAACCTCCCTGTTCTCCCTTTCCCTCTCACCTCGTTCTGGATTATCTTTATCATTTGGGCTTGAGTTCTCTTTATTCCTGTTCAACTGGCATTGGAAAGGAGCAGGGAACTGGCTGCTCTGTATGAGAGCTGATGTGTGAATGTGTGTTTGACCAAAAACAAAACAGTTGGCTGCAAGCAGTGCCCCGGCTTTGTTTTTGTCTTCGTGCTGATCTCATTGCGACATGAGGAACAGGATAAAGAGTTTTTTGTGCTCTAACAGAGCAGCAGCGAGTAGGAAAATGTAGCTACCTACAGTACAGGAGATAAAACGCTAAGTGCGTTCTTGTGTGCTGAAGTGATGCAGACAGACAACCCTAAGCTTTGTCCTCCACTGGTCATCCACTGCTTCCTGTCTGACAAAACATTTCAACCTCAACGACCTTTTGTCTTTACAGCCCGATCTCCTTTTTCATGATTTCTCTTCCATCCTATTCCTCTGTCTCATGCTCTTCTGCCTGCCGTGCTCGTCTGTGTTCCTTGCTTTGGTTTGAGACCGGATTCACAGCGAGGATAGGCCAGCCCCTGTGTGTCAAGCTTGTCTGCAGAAAACTTATGGAAGACCTGTCAGCGAATCAGCTAAAGCTGGACGAGGTCACAGCAGAGTAGTGACCTTTGGGGGCGTGACTGAGATCGAGCAGCCGACAGACAAAGTCATGTCGGGAGGAGGGGAGGAGACGGAGTTGCTTAGACGACTCCCTTCCAAGGCAACAGTAGCCATGCCTACCACTGGCCTGGCCTCCCAGCTTTCAGAGCGGGAATGCAGGTATGGACGAGGCCAAAGCTCAGACGAGTTAAAGTAATGGCCCCAATCCATAATCGCCTCCACTAGTCTGTGCTACTCTTAACGATAGAAGGCCCTTTTCTGTCGCTTTACTTATCAAGTTAGTTAAATAAACTGCTTGTTGCATTTTTATCAGGTTTCAAGGTCCTAAAGGCTATTCTCCCTTCTCTACCTAGTATAAGATTTTCTCCATTGCACTGCATTGCATTGATTGCTTGTAGTTTTGTTAGAAGGTAAAGATGCACGAATGCATGCAGAATTACCAGAGGAACTTATTGAATCAGCCAGACATCTGATGGACTAGCTGAAAATCATTCAGGGATGGCTCATTCAGAACTGTTTAAAAGAAACAGCTTGAAAGAACAATTAGCAATAGAAATAAGCTATGGATTCTGCAGTTCTGTGCCTCATCTCACCCGCTTCCTATTTTAGAGCCTTTATGCTTTTATCCTCAGTGCTCTGCTAAAGTGTTGATACCCTTTTAGATTTGTTCAAGTTTGTTTTTAACAACCTCAGAATTGGTAAAATTTATGTAACTGAGTGTCCCCAGCGTAATACTTTGATGGTCATCAATCCTTCCATCAGACTCTCAAAAGGACTAAGATCTTGTGCTCTAACCTTAGCCATGTCATCGTCCTGCTGGAGCAAGGCCCCCTTCTCGACTCTAATGCAGCCATTTACCATTTTTTCACATAGTATTGGCCTGTGTTTAGCTCAGTCCACCTCCCCATCAGCTCTTAAACCGATTTTCTGTAGAAGGAAGGCGTGCCCACAGCATGTTACTGCCACCAACATGTGTACATGAATGGGAAGATGTGCAGCATCGGTTTTCCTTCATTCAAAGAGTTTGGAATGGATTTGTTTTGTATTGTATGTTGTGTAGCCTGTGTCAAATTTAGAGCATACTTTCTATGGCTTTCTTGTGTGATTTTGCGTGCTTTTTCCATTTTAACACCGTATCATTCTGTTTCTTCTTTATGATAATGAGTTGTTTTGTGTTGGTCTATAACATACAATGCTAAAAGAATACACTGAAAGTTAAGTTACAGAAGTTCAAGGGGTCGGTAAACCTTGAGGCACATTGGTTCCTCGATCTGTTCCCGATTGCCATGTTCTGCATGTTTTAGACGTCTCCCATCTTCAAATGCCTTATTCAGATAGTTTTAATGTCTCAGTCTCTTTCTGAGCTTTGCTCACGTGTGCATGTCTAATTAGAGAAAGTACTTTCTTTATTTGTGACAATAAAATATATTCTAATCCCTTTAACTTTATTTGCTAATGTCAGCAAATTTCTTAGGCTTCCTTTTTTTGCTTTGTTTATTTGCCTGTTTTAGATTTGGAGAGGCATTATTGTCTTCTGCTCCTCTAACCTGCTTCTAAAAATCTTTACATTTGATCGCTGTCATTGCAGTGGTTTTTAGGTATCAGTAACCCAACTCTGTTGCTTTGACTTTGTGCTTAATGCTGTACTCTAGCGGTCTCATGGATGGACCTGTTCCCAGTCTAGCCACCCCTCCTTCTGTGGATCTCCAAACCTGGACCACGAAGTCCTCCCCTACTCCTGCTGAGATAGATGCTCGTTTTGCTCAGTACAAGCAGAGAGCTGAAGAAGAGGAGGAGGAGGAAGAAGAGGACAGGATCCCTGATCTTCAGAAAGATGACATGATGGCCAGGAGGACAGGGATATTCCAGAAACAAACAACCGGACCAGCAGGTTACAACCGTTTCCTGCCTTTGCCTGGCTCAAAGTGGTGCAGCCGAGGAGAGGCTACTGCTGCTGCTTCTTTTAACAAAAAGGAAGCACAGGCAGAAAAAAGCGAGGGGCTCAGCACCAGGTGGGCTGAAAGTTGGCGTTTGCTGTGCTTAACAGGGTGCAGAAACCTCTAACAAGTTTGATGTTGCTTGCTTAGTCATCGGTGTATTAGTTATTTAAATTACAGACTTCTCTACCTTAGAGTGGATAACCAGCATCTCAGAGTTTCCCAAGAAATGCCTCAACACCAAAATGACCCTACGGTGATCAGAGCAACGTCTCAAACAGAAAGTGAAGACGAAGACGAGCATGATGCAATGGATCATGGCCCTGACCCGGAGAAAGATGACATGATGGCTCGAAGAACCAGATTGTTACAGAAACCAGGTGTGATCAGAGGAAATCCCTGCTGCAATCAGTTCCTTCCGGTCCCTGGATCGGTCAAATGCAACATCAGCTCAGTGTCTGCAGGGAAGCAGTCATGCAGCGGGTCTAAACTCACAGAAAACACAGGCAGAGAAAGGTATTTACAGTGCTGGAATGAAGACATGGGTGTTATTTTGGTAACCTCCTGTCAGTGACACTAGAATCATTTGCAGATAAAGTTTGAATGCTAGTGGCCACATGTGCATGGAAAGTCATCAGATTTCCTATGGGCAGACAAACTTGTACCATCAGAAAATACATTTGTATTGCCCTGACTGAATCGGTTCTAAAGTAATTGGAAATCAAATACATTATTTAGAAAAGGAAGTTCACTCAATCAAATCTGAATTTAGCGGTTTGAATGTGAATACATTTGGTTTAAAGATTCCGTTTTTTTAATAGAACATTCAAATTTCTCTTTTTTGCTTTCAGCTCTAAAATTCAATTTCAGTTACTTTGTGTCATAATTAACATAGACTAATCAAACAGATTCCGAGATTTGCACTGGAGCACACATGAGCTTTGTAGATACCATAACCATGTCAAACATGACTGGGAAACCCAGAACAACACCAGCAACATGCTATGCTAATTTAGCATATTTAGCTAATAGCCACAGGTAGCTGGTACAGTTAGCCATCATTTTTTTCTTTTCTACATGGTGCTAATATGATTGATAATTTCCCATTATTAATGACACCTAGCAAGCTAATGTTTGATTATTCTGTGGCTTAAATCTTAACACAATGAAACATAACTTTCAAATATAAATTGAAATATAGACCCAAAAATAAAACAGACCAGTTGAAATTAATTCAGTTTTTAACAATTAAATTCAGTTTTAATTTACTGAAAGTCTTTCTCAAACGTTTGCATTTAATTGCATATTACATAAATGCAGATTCAATCCGGGAAATTCAAATGAAGTTTCTGATAGCACAAGTTTCTATCCGTAGTATCCTGGCTATCTGAAGCTAGTCCTGAATTAATTGACTTGTCTTGGGTTCTGCGGGATTGTTTAATCATATTATTATTCCTGGTGTGGATGTATCTTTAGTAAAAGGCTCATCATTTTTAATCATTTGAATTAATATGTCCTACCCACTCTTTTCACCCTCTTGAATGGCTCAGTTAATGCCTTGTTGAGACTAGCATTGTTTTTTTCCCCCTTTTTTGTTATTACAAACTTTGGCTTCGGTTGGCATGGCTGTTTGCTGAGTTTCAGCCGCTAATTAATCTGTCAGATTTTATCGTTTCAGAATAAATCAGAACTGAATCCAAATGAAACTGCTGGGAAGCCACTTTAGAGAAGAATGAGTGTTTCTGTAAATTCATAAAATAAATAATTTAAACAAATATGAACTCATAATTGAGTCTGCTAGAGTTTAGACACCTTTAGAAAATATAAAACATTCTTAGAAAAAAAATCATAATGGACCCATAGTGGAATATTAGAAAAACTTTTCGAGAAAAAAGATAGAAATTTCCTCAGAAGATTCTGATATGATAGAAAATAGTGTATCATACATATTAACATAATTAGTTGACCTGCTCTATAAAGTATTGGCAAACAGGTCATAGGATAACAGAAAATAAATGTAATGAAACTTGGATTTATTCCGAAGAGCTGATCAGTCATCAGTTTTTTGGAAAGCAGTTCTGATTTACCATTTTGGTGTGTACCCTGTTAATCCTGGCTCTATCAATGGCTCGTTGTATCAGCAGCGTTGTTACCATGGCAGTAGAACATGAAGCCTCGCCCTTCAAAGCCCCAACCAGCCTGAGGTGTCCTGGGTTGATAGGGAAGGAAAAGCTAGAAAAGAGAGAAACTGTGATGGTCCATAATGCTGCTGTGAGCGAAGTGAATGAACCATCATTATCATCCTCCTCCTCTTCACTCATACCTCCTCCCAGCATTCCCTCGACTCAAATCTGTAAAGCAGAGGAAGAGTTGGAGGCTGGAAGAGAGGAGGAGAAAAACAGTGATGGGAATCTGGAAGTGGAAAAGAAACCATCTTGGACAGAGGATGATCTTCCTCCAATGATGTGAGATGAATGTTTGCTTGTTAATCATTTCTCTGATTTGACCAGCAGGACAGTAGTGCTGACATTCAAGCTGGTCTATTTCTGTTTTATACATATTTGTCTATTATTTATAATGGTGACATTTGAAACTTCTCTCATTTCCCCCCTCATCAGCTGCCTGTTTAAGCTTGTCATTTTAAGCCTTTTGTCCTTACTTTCTTTCCTCTGCTGCTGTTATAGGGTGAGCCGACGTGTTGCTTTTCTGTTAGACATTGAGTAAGTTTTACCAACTGAATATTTCTGAGGTCCTGCATGAAGAAGTATGTCTGCATGTCAGTTAAGAACTGCCAAAATTCTCTGCAACATACAGGCATGAAGGAACTATTTCCATGGCCTTTGTTTGGCATCTCATTGTGCATTTTTACCACTTGGCCTGATTGTTTTATCGCTTATTTCATTGTTTCATTACTTGGTCTTCATAACCTTGCATTTTGTCCATCGAATGCTTGTTAAATGTATTCATGACCCCAAAATTCATGTTATTTGGATTCTTAGAGCTGTTTTTTTTTGTTTATCTTTGACTGGTTTTGATCAACAGTTGTTCTTTAATTTTTCGTTCTCACCCTGACGGCATGGCATCCAGTTTGTACTAAACATTTAAAGAAAGTCCTCAAAAGAAGAAAGATCAGTCCTACAGGTTTGCAAATGATGTACAGCATTAACTATTTATAGCCTTAAAGTTGATCAAACGCAACCAAATGTAAGAGATGTATAATTTTTCAGTTAATCGTCACATTTTTATCTTACAGTTTTTATAAATCTTATAGCTGGTGCTAAATTATATCTTTGATTTTTTTCTCCACAGAAGAATAAAAATGCTTAAACGTTAAGTTTAAAGCTGGTTCTTTGCTAGGTTGTTTGGTTTAGAAGCCGTTTATTAAATATATTTTTTTGGTCCTGGTGCTCTTTAACCGTTTGATGCTTTTTCCCTTTTGTTTAATATTTTATTCATCTGTTTAACCAGGTTAAAACAATCCATTGAGGGGGATGTCTCTTTTTTTAATTATAACCCTGCCAAGACTTTGACAACTTCATATAAGAGACACAAAGCACTTAAGTAGTTTACAAATACAATACAATAAATTACATATGCATGCTGACATAAAACAAATAAATTAGGTACTAATTAAAACATAGCAAAGTATTGTCAAAACCAGTCAATTTTAAAAGGGCAGTTCTAAATCTACTCCTAGCCAATGGTGATGCTATATATATTATATAATTCAAAAAATAAAGTTCACTTAGTCTTTTGATATGTATATGTCTAGAGGCAGGAAAACAACAGAAAACATCTCTGCAGACCCCACACATGCTGGAATTTTAAAAAGAATTTTCTTTCAGGCGGCCACTACAGAGATGGTTTGCTGCCTCTGAACACTGAACAGAGTGCTGAGGTCAATGCTACACATATTCATCTTATTAACCTAAAAACAATGTAGAAATAAATGCTTTTTTCTTCTACCAGTCTTTTAGTGAGAGGTGGTATGGGTACATGGATCAGATCCATGTCAAAATCCAGTATATGACATTGTCTTTAATTATATACAACTTTAATAGATGTGACATAATGTATTTTAATAGTTAGTCATATAATTGATTCATAAAAAATGCAAAACCACCAAAAAAAAAAAAAAAAAAAAAACGTCTGCACAGTGATTAGGTAGAATGTGTATGAATAGTGTGTTTAATGGTTTAAAATAAAAATGTTTTGGGATGAAATGGTAACACCACATGAATGATAAATTAGTCAGATTTACATTGAGAGAAATTCTCAGAAAGTCTTATTGTTAAAGGCTACAGAAAGCTTATCTGCTTGAAGGAAACAATGTCAAGTAATAAGAGAGTTAAAGAGTTAGACACCTAAAAATTTTTATTTAAAGTTACTATTTTCTTTTCTTTTGTTTGCTGCTGTTTCATTAGGTATTTTTTATCATTACTCTCAATTTTGTGAGCAGCAAAACCCGTGCATGTATTTTTCAAAAATCTTTTTTTCCGAGTTAGATTGAATATTTACATTGTTTTAATTTCCAGGAGTGTGAGTATGGGTGACATGGCCAGTGAAGAAGAGGTGGAACATTTACCTTCGCTGAGCCCATCACGGCCTGAGCGCATGCATCAACAATGTAACGCTTTTTTGGAAGAGGAGGACCACTGGCAGGATGTGAGGATCTTCATGTTCTATAACTGTTTTGCGGTTGGCAGAGTTGAAATTGTCTGAAAGTGTGCATGTGCATTGTCTTAGGACCTGGCTCGCTGGAAGAGTCGCCGTCGCAGCGCATCACAGGAGCTGATTAAAAAAGAAGAGGAAAGGAAGAGAATAGAGAAGAGGATGAAGGAGGATGGATCAGACAGCAATAAGAGGAAGAGCATTAAGACCTACAAGGAGATTGTAGAGGAAAAGTAAGTGCTTTGCTGTTGCCTTAAACATTACACCAACATATGTCAGCATAATTAAGCTGTGTTTTGATTATTCTTCTTTTTAGAGAACGTAGAGAAGCCGAACTGTGCAAAGCCTACAGAAATGCAGCGAGTCCAGAGGAGGCAGCTTTGGTTTTGCAACGTTATGCTCTTCGTTTCACCATCAGCGACGCAACACTGGACAGCCTGAAGCTACCCAGAAGCACCAACAAACCCAATAAGGACCGAAACCAGACAGAGCTGGAACACAAACCAGCATCAGATGTAGATAACTCAGAGACACTGAACCATACGACCACACTGGAATCAGAGGTTTTAATAAAACAGGAGCCCTCGTTAGCTGCCGACGTAAACACAGAGGGTACACATGAAAAAGAGAAACTTGGTGTCATCAACACCAGTTGTTTGACACCAGAGACCAACTCACTAATAGAGAAGCCTCAATCAGAACCACTTCCTGATCTACCTTCCCATATGACAGAGCCACAGCCTGAGCCTCAAAAACCGTCGGACACAGCAGCATCACAGCCACAGTACGAGTGTGCTCAGCCTCAACCTGCACAACCCAATCAGATTCTCCCCTCTCCTCTGTCTGCACCTTCCAGACCCCTCCCCCTGCTGGTAGCAAAGCCCTACTGCCCGCCCAAGAGCTCTCCCTTTGGACACAAACCTGTCCAGGTCCAAACGGTAGGAACTATATATATATCTGTCTGAATACAACATGGATTTCAGAATAGTAAACTGCTCTGTCAAATTATCTCTTCGACATATAAAACGAGACCATGGTTAATAGTTTCCAAGCTTTTCTTACCTTAAGTGTAACAAAGATTATGTACATGTCAACAGATATGCAATCAAATGGTTTTGAAGACAATGTTAGCATTTAGTCAACCATCATGATCTAATTAACCTGAGACAGGGTCCAGTTAACCTAGGAGGACATTTATCAAATATATAGTTAGAACAAATAGGGTTGAATGAAATCAAAAGGTGCCCCAAAAATGTACTAGTTTAAAGGCCTAAAGGACATTAATTGAAACAGATTATTATCCCGTTCAGGGTTTTCCTTTAATGGATTGTTTGTTTCTCAGTGGAGTTGTTAAGAAGTTCATGTGAAAAAATACTAAAGAAATGTAACGTTCGGACAGATGATCACTGCTTTTTGCTCCCCGTTGGTCACATAAATGCGCCTCCACTGCGTGGTGCATGCACCATCTTTGTTATTAGTTGCCGCTTTCAGGTAGCAACAGCCAATGGCCACAGTGGGCTGCGGTGACAGCAAATCTCGTGATGCTTTGCGAGGAGAGCTCTCCGTGCAAAGCATTCTGGGATATACTGCTATATGGATGAGCACGAAGGACGGCCTTACGTAAACATAACCAGAATGATTGACAATTAGGAGGATCACTTATTAAGATGATAAACCCTGAAATAAAAGATCGTCCTCTATACCTTTAAATAGCTTGGTGATACAAATACCAACTCACCCAACAACATGGTTGCACATGAGTACATAAAGAGAGCCAGACCGATTAAAGAGAGCATGCTGGTGTTCACAGCAACCAACAAAATGTGAAGGGAGAACAATTTAAGATATTTAGCTGCTTGCTTATTAAATCAGAAAGTTTTTTGTCCTGTATCATGTTCAGATGGACGAACCGGTGCGGGTAAATGGAGAAACGACAGAGGATTTCCCGTCCCCTCAGGACTCACTACAGGAAGACAAAGATGTTTCCTGCAAACAGACAGAACAATCCGATCCTCCAGAAGAGACTGTGGAAAGTCCAAAAACTGCAGAGCAGCCGGAACCACTGCAGAAGGAACAGTCAGCCCCATCCTCAGGCTCTGCCATCAGCTCCCTGATGGCAGGAAGAAACTGTATCATCAGAACCACAATTGTGACAGAGCTTACAAAGACCCATGTGGAACCGCTTAACTCAGAGGTCCAGAACAGCGGACAGGTAATCAAGCTACTTTTTTACATTTCTAAAGCTTTACTTTGTTTTTTTGAACATCTTGTAGGTTGGATCCATAAACAAAGCTTTATAACAATTTTGTTGTTGTTGATAGTGACTGGCTTTACAGCATTTTATTGATTTGGTTTAATAGTTCTTTCCTAGGGTTCATTGATTATTCATATTTCATGACTTCATAATTTATTGGACTTTCAGGACATCTTATTGACTTTTAGACCGCTTTGTGATGTGTTTAGGTTCTTTCCTCCACTGAAATTTCTCACTGGAAGGATTTGCTATGCTTTGTCTTTCTCATCATCTCAGATATTCTCCTATTCTGGGCAGTTTTCCTTCCTCTGTGCAAATGGTGACCACTGTGATTCATGCATGCTACTGTCATGCTTCACTCACAGGGTAGTGTCCTCAGAAATAGCATTGAGCTAGAATTGGTGTTGTTCTCTAAGGGCGAAAAGTTAATTTAAAACTACTTCCACATATTTCCACAGCAAGCGTTTTGGATAACATATCTTGGTCTGATTTAATCGCAGACAAACTTTTTTGTGGCTGAAAAAAGAACACTGCACATGACTTTAAACACACAGTGACACATGGTGGTGGCAGCTTCATGCTGTGTATAAGCAGGAAGCTTGTCAAATCTCATGGGAGGCTTATTGGAGGTTTAGAACAGAGTGAAGATCAAAGCTGGTAGAGATTTATCCTGTTGATAAAGGTGCAGATATATACCACACCTTCCAGAAAATACCCAGAAAACCAAATAGCTTTTATTCCCCTCCAGTTTACAAGTACTGTGTGGTGATCTGTTACATACAATTGTTTGTGCTAGCAAAAAAAAAAAAAGAAAGGTTCAATGAACACATTTGCAAGGCGTTATAAAACCCAGTTGTTTTAACTGCCTTGTTTAACAAAAAGGCTGAATGCTTCAAAACCCTCTGTAGACTCATCTGTCTGCACAACCTGTGAATTACTCTTTAATTTCTAAACACTAACATGTAAATAATCTTGTTGTTTTATTTAATACACTCCTAAGGTAGAGAAAAGAAATGGGTGGAAAGAGTTGCTTTGGTTCCGTCTCTGTATGGGATAAATAATGTAAGCAGGTGTCTGCACTGGAAAAAATCTAAATCTAGATAAGTAATCTTTTCTTAAAATAAATGCATTTGTTCTTGGACTGAGGAGGCAAAAGAGACATTTTGCCAATGGAAAGAGACAATTTATACTTAAAATAAGAATTTATTTCAAGTGCATATTATCTAAATATCTTATTTTAAGAGTAAAAATAATCATTTCATTTGCAAACTATCTTATTTACCTACTCAAATTATGGTTAAATACACTCAATTTAAGACATTTTTACTTATTTCTAGATTGTTTTTCCAGTGGGGTTTAAACATTTCCATTTTAAAGGTCATTTACATGAACAGAAAAACAGCAGCTAAACTAAGAACAACCCATTTAACAGATCACCAGTGTGGTTAGGAAGGATTTGAGTGGTTTATTGCTGGATCTTAACAAGCGTCAACCTGTTTATAAGTGCGTTTTCCTTTTCTTGAGATTTATTTCATTTCAATGTAACTCAGGATGGGACTAGTGAACAGTTGGAGACGCCAGCAGAGGAAGAGAAAGTTGAACTTGCACAATCACCCACCAGCATGCACGAATATTCTCCCGCTGTGTCAGGTAAATCTGCTTTTCTTTATCCTTCACCTTTACAACTGTCTCTTTGTATTTTTCTTTTTCTAATGGCGTGCCATCTTTCCACAGAGGGGCTAGAGGAGAGCAGTGTGACCGTAAGTATCTGAAGGTTTCAGCTCTGTCTCCTCCTTTCTGTTTCTGCTCCATCCTCAGATTTGACCCCGTCCTGACCCCTTTGTCTCCAGTGGTCGCTGTAGGCAGACTTGTGTCCTCACCTTTCCTCTCTTTCTGTCCTTTTGCTCTGGTATATATGTGTGTTTGTGTCGGTGTGGTTGTCGGTCGGGTCTGGTTAGATTGAGACCCCCATGTTGAACTTGGCTAAACGTGTTAATCACTGGGTCTGGGACCCCAATGAGGAGCGTAAGCGCTTGGAAAGGTGGCAGCAGGAGCAGGAGCGCCTCCTAAAGGTACTGTAGACCGAGGTTGTGTTTGTGCATGGCTCTGCAGGTGCTTTGGAAAGTAAAGATGTTCTGGATGTTTCTTTGTAGAGCTCGGTTCAGGAGGTTATATACACTCATCATGGGTCTTAAAGTTGATCTAATGTTGGACTTTTGGAGATTCATTTGAGCTTTTTTTTAACAACAGGCAGGTTTATAGATTATTAAAAATGACAAACAGATACTGTTTTTTGTTTGTTTGTTTTGGATAACCCAGTCTTGGTTTGTTAATTTCCTGGAAGCAGTGTACCTAGTTATTCAGTTGTGCTCCATGGGGGGCATCAAGTAGGGGGGGTCAAAAGTCATTAGGATGTGATTCCTGAGGTATATACAGTCATATGAAAAGTTTAGGCACCCCTATTAATTTTAATTATATTTATTTCTAAATATTTGGGTGTTTGTAGAGCTGTTTCAGTTTGATACGTATATCTAATAACTGATGGACACAGTAATATTTCACTATTGAATTGAGATTTATTGGACTAACAGAAAATGTGCAGTCTGCATTAAAACAAAATTTGACAGGTGCAAAAATATGGGCACCTCAGCAAAAAAAGAGACATTATTATTTAGTAGATTCTCCTTTTGCAAAAACAACAGCCTGTAGTCGCTTCCTGTAGCTTTTAATGAGTTCTTGGATCCAGGATGAAGGGAGTTTTGACCATTCTTCTTTGCAAAACAATTCCAGTTCAGTTAAGTTTGATGGTCTCTGAGCATGGACAGCCTATTTCAAATCATCCCACAGAATTTCAATGATATTCAGTTCTGGGGATTGGTATGGCCATTCCAGAACATTGTAATTATTCCTCTGCATGAATGCCTGAATAGATTTGGAGCGGCCTAAGCGATCCATCACTGGCATAAATTCAACTTCATATCTGATTCTTGAACTTTGCTCTCAAGAATTATTGAGTGGAATCCATGCAACCCTCAACTTTAACAAGATTCCCAGTGCCAGCATTGGCATTGCAACCCCAAAGCATGATGGGACGTCCACCAAATTTTCAAATCTTCCAAATCTTGGAATGCTGTGTTTTTTTGCCGCCATGCATAACGCCTTTTTTTTATGACCAAACAACTCAATCGTTTCATCAGTCCACAGGACCTTATTCCAAAATGAAGCTGGCTCATCCAAATGTGCATTTACATACCTCAAGTGATTCTATTTGTGGCGTGCTTACAGAAAAGGCTTCTGTCTCATCACTCTCCCATACAGCTTCTCCTGGTGCAAAGTACGCTGAATTGTTAAAGGATTCACAGTGACACCATCTGTGGGTTGTCCTTGACCATTCTCACCATTCTTCTTCTCTGCCTCTCTGATATTTTTCTTGGCCTGCCACTTCTGGGCTAAACTGTCAGTTTAAATCTCTGAGACAACTTTTTGTACCTTCCCCTCAACGATTACGTTGAACAATCTTTGTTTTCAGATCAACTGAGAGTTGTTTGCGGTGCCCATGATGATCTTCAGAGATTCAAACAGGAGAACAACTTGCAACTGGTCACCTTAAATACATTTTCTCATGATTGGATAGACCTGGCTATGAGGTTCAGATCTTAATGAAGTTACAAAACCAATTTTGTGTTTCAGTAAGTCAGTGAAAAGTAGTTAGTATTCAAATCAATAAAATGAGGAGGGTACCAAAATCTTTGCACCTAAAACTAAAATAGCTGTTGCAAACACCCAAATATTTAGAAATGAAAATAATTAAGTTTAATAGAGGTGCCCAAACTTTTCATATGACTATATAATGATGACCTAAATATGACTAAAATAATAATATAATTAGTAGATGTAACATTTATTTATCCAATGCATAATTTAGATATTGAATATAACCTTAAATTGTTAAATGCACAATAAAATGTCCAATTAAATATTTCAAATGCATTTATAATGGCAAATTAAATATTTCAATGTGATTTTAGAGTAAATACTTTATTCAAAATTAAATATAATTCATTTTATATGTATAATTAGATATAGAATTATGTAATTATATGTATTTTTAGGGTGTCACCAGTAAGTTGCATTGGCTTTTTCTAATGTCCCTGGCTAAAATGTCTGGGAACCCCTGATGTAAGCAAGGCTGTGAACTGAAGGGCTATGAATAAGAGGAACTGTTTCCAGAATTTCTTTCCCAATTTATCTGGTGTTGCATTTTATGCTTGGAATGAGATCCTCTCATAGAGTAAATTGTGAATAGAACGGTGTAGGTATTTGAAAACTTATAATTACCATGACACGGATGTCCATGATCAGTGTATCTAACCAGAGCTGTATGCTTTTGTTTTATATTTGCGTGTGTTAGTTTTCGCCTTGTTTTTTAGTTATTTAATATAAACTGTTCCTGCTAATAGGAGCAATACCAGAAAGAACAAGAGAAGCTAAAGAAAGAGTGGGAAAAGGCCCAGCTGGAGGTGGAGGAGGAGGAGAGAAAACACAACGAAGAGGTGGGAACGCTCACCTAAAAAACGAAAACAAAAAGAATTTTTTAGTTCTTGCTCTGTTTGTCTTAGATTTTCCTCCTTCTGTTTCCAATCCTCTCAATTCATCCAGGAAAGACGAATTCTAGAAGAGACTGTTGCACCTCTCAGTCCCTCTGCCTTGATGCAGAAGTGGTCAGAAAACACAACTTCTTATGCAGAAGAAAACAACAACACCGCAGACGGAGAAAATGTGTCTCTGCAGCAAAATGGACAGAAAATCCCATCCGGAAGTCAGGATCAACATTCATCCAAGCTGCATTTTTTCCAGGGTGAGAATAAAGTAAACACACTCAGAGATATGTCCAGTTGTCTAAAGGGCAGTTAATGTTAAACATTTGGTTGTTTTGTTTTGTGATAGACTCTGGATTTGAAGATCAGGCTCCAAATAAACAGGAAATGTGGAAGACGGCATCTCTGGACCGCGGCCCTCAGCTGAACCAGACACAAGCTGTTAGGAGGTGAGCGAAAAATGAATGACGCCTTTATTTTTCCCATTAACAGCATTTCCCCTGCAGTCATGGTAAAGATACGGTGCATTCTGAATTCACCACAGTATGCTCATCAGGACATAATACAGCTGGTCTGGTCTTTAACAGATGTGTTTAAATCTGATCTTTACGAACAAAATGTACAATAGCTTCCTCACTTTCAACATTTCTTTGGGAAAATGGACTAAAAGCTGCTACTGAAAATTACAGGACATTATTGAACAGCTTGATGAGCCTCTTTTAGGAGCAATAACGATCTATTTTAGCTGTTTAATCAGTTGTTCACATGGTTATGGAGAAGTTTGTTCCACTCTCCTGAGAAATGCTGTTTCATTTTATCTGTTGTATTTTTTATCACTTCAGCCTTGCTGAGGCTTTCTCAGCTTTATTACAGCACCCTAATTCTTTACACTTTCATCCAGTTAGTTAAAGATTTGCTGTTGTGTTTGGGATCATGAAATGTTGCAAAGCTATTGCCTCACTTGTGACTCTTAAATAAAATTGGTATATAGAGAAGCTCATGTCAGACTGGATGGTCACCCCCTCACAAATCTTTGTCCTCCACTGATGAGGCACTAGGGCTGAAACAATTTATCGGATTCATTGTAAGGAATCGATTATTGAACTAATCGTCAAATAATTCTGTAATCTATTAATCATCAACTGGAGTATAGAGACATGCCTTTAGCTGACAAAATAACCCACTTAGAGCAGCAATTATACCAAATAAAAAAAAAAGAAAAAATATGTAAAAAATATTTTGGTCTGTCAATATCCTCTACCCAGAACTCCTCAAGTGAAAAGGTTTTAGTTTCACCTGGTTTCATTTCTTAAAAAATATTTTTTAAGGAACCTTTTGCTATCCGATTATTAATTGAAAAAATAATCGACAGATTAATCGATTTGCAAAATGTTGGTTAGTTGCAGCCCTATGAGGCACTGCTTACATACCATATGTTTCTCTCGAGACATAGGGCTATGCTTTGTGACCAGTCATCTTTTATTTTGATATCATCTAAGAACTTTGTCCTAAACTTTAAAATTCAATGTGCTAATCCTAATCCAGGGATCCTACAGGGATCTTTTGTTTGTTTGTTTCTCTGACTATTCTAGGGTATGATCTTGGGGTAAGTTTACCTGGACATCCACTCCTGGAAAAATTGGGAACACTTAATAATTTTTATCACCTGCTATAATCTGTTGGATAACTTAAAATTGTTTCAAGGTGACCTTTTAAGGCTTCTCAGATTATTGATTTTTCATATGTTTTTGCTGAGGCCTTTTTTCTTTAGCATTGTTATTAAAACATGTTTAAATTACGATCTAGGCTATAAAAGTGATCCATTAATCAACTTGAACACTGGCAGCATTTGGCTAGAGCTTTCTTACCCAACTAATTTTAAGCTGCTAAAGGTGGCATTTGTTCATGTTTACAAATGTTTCATTTTTGTATGTTATTATGTATTGAATATTTGATATATAATTACAGTGGTGAATCCGTGGTTAGTTTTTGAATGACTGAGGTTAAAACTTAGAACCTGGAAGAGACCTGAACCATTTTATCATGCTTGATTTGTAAAATTCTCAAGTACAAAAATGAGTCTTTTTTTTTTTACCATGGCTACAGGTAAATTTAGACAAATAGAGCTATTTAAATCTAGATATATATTGTTTGAACTTGTAATGTTCAGACTGATTTATAAGCACTAAAAGGAGAGCAGATGAATGATCACAGTATAAAGCAGAGGATCATTTTCAGCCCTCTGTCTCTGCAGCTTATAAGCAAACCAAATATGAAGAACAGCTAGAAAAGGCATTTATTTGAGATACAGACCTCTTTTATCAGCGATGAAAACATACTGCTTCTCACCTTTAATTCAGATCAGGATCACATGATGCTGTAACGAGTAACCGGGACCTCTCTCCTTCATCGGTCCAGCCTCCGTCACACAGCAGGTAATAATGTTAACAGTCACCTGAAAATATCCGGTTGTCTGTTTCTCATTCCTGCTCTTTTCCTCCTGTCATTGTTTTAGGTGCGTCAGTGGGAAGCGACTCTGTTCTGGATGTTCAAAACCTCTGGGAAGAGGAGCTGCTATGATCATCGACACTTTGGGGCTGTTTTTCCACATGCACTGTTTTAAGGTCTGTTTGATACCACAGCGCTCATGTTTTAAATTTACTATACTTACTCCATAATCAGAAACAAACGTAGTTTAGACATGTTTGTCTCACAAAATGGTTTATGTTTACTAAGCTGTTATATCTAACCATCAACACTCTCTATTGATTTAGGTTAAACTTTTTGTATTATTGCCATTTAGCCTCGTTATGCAGGGTCAAAAATCTGACCCCAAAAACAAGATTTATAATGCTTCGGTAACATTTAGGATGTTGGATTGAGTTGAGTGCGTTTTGTCTGAAGGGTCTGTTTTCATACTGGGTTTTTCATCTGGGACAATAATATTAGGATAAGAACGATGATATTTAGGATGAAATCAGACAAGGTAGAAGTCAGACTCACGGTAAAAGTGGTTGTCTTTGTAAAGTGCCTTGAGATGACGTGTTGTAAATTGGCACTCTTTAAATAACTTGGAAGTTGAATAGATTTGAATGATCATTTAAAATTATATTTAGGCAAAGATTTATCTAGTTTCTGTTCTGAATTGCCAAAGAGTAACAAATATAAGAAGAAAAAGATATTTTCAATATAACAAGCATTTATTGTATAGTACCCGAAAAAAGAAAGAAATAAATAATAGCAGATTTCCTCTGCACTGGGATATGGGATGTTTTTGTTCTAAAATACTGACATAATTTATGTTTATAAGCAAAAACTAACTTTTTAAGTGAGTTTCTGGTATCTTAGTGGAACAATTTAACCAGCTATCTAAAGGTCAAATTAAAAGTGTGGGGATAAAAACTGGGAGATTGGCTACACCCTGAAAGTACCCTCTAAAGTATGGAATCAAATCGTTACCATATTTTAAATGAAAAAGCATTTTTAGACATGCTTTTTCATTTCAAGAATGTGGTTGCATTGTTTGGCTCATAAATAAAATCAGTAATCAATAATCCGGTTGCATTTTCATTTTATTCTTTAACACTGCTCATCCTTTTACTTAATTAAAATGAAAAAGAAAAAGACATTTGAGATTTATTTTTCAAAATGTACCCCAGCAAATACCTACCAAATGCAAATAGGATGATTGATTACTAATTTTATTTATGAGTCAAGTAATGCAGCCACATTCTTAACATGAAAAAGCATTTCTGAAAATGCCTACAATGAAAATGACCTACATTTAAAACGGTTAGAAATCCTCTTACCGTTTTTCCTTCTCTATAGATACAGTCAGTATAGCTTATTTCTATGTTTCAAGGGCTGAGGGCTTAAGGCTTGTGAAAATGAACCAACTAGAAGAGCGAGGTTTGTGAGAACGCTGGGACCTTTTTTACACCTGGATCCCAGCTCTTTTTTGCCCTCATTTCCCTTCATTGTCGCACAAATTTCCCCCCACTTCCTCACCGCCTCTGCCCTACTTAGACCCACAGCTAGTTCATGATTGTCCCTCTTACGTTTGTGGCGTGGAATAACATAGCGCAGACCACGCTTCAATATTGGGCATAAATCAAAAATATCTGCGTCATACCTGCGAAAAGCTCACTGCGACACACTGCTGTGTGAGTATAACCAACCTTTTAGTATGCATGCCAAGGGGAGTTACGGAATTTAGCTTCACAGGAAATGGACTGCACTCAATAAATTACTTGTTTTGGTTTCAATAACCAAAATATAAAAGTCCTTAATGAAGTGACAGAAAATAATATTAATTAATTGCATAACCTTTCCATCTTTTGTTGCATTTATTTTATTTTCTTTAGTCATAACCTTTCCATCTTTTGTTGCATTTTTTTTTTTTTTTTAGTGTGGAGTATGCAAAGGACAGCTGGGTGATGCCATGGCAGGGACTGACGTCAGGATTCGCAATGGACTGTTGAGCTGCTATGAGTGCTACATTGCATCTAGAGGTAGGAAATCATTCATTAAAGAAACAAACGATTAATACGTTTAATTGCTCTAATGCTGCCTTTATGTGGTCTGGTAAAGATGATCCTTAACATTTGTAAAGTGGAAATTACCAGCACATTGTGTTCAAGTGCTTTTGTTGTGGTAGAGAAGAGACACATGTTGGATCAAAAGATTATCCTGACCAGTTGCTTTGACAAGTCAGTAATAGACTTCCTAGTTCATCTGCTACAGGAACAGGTATTGACTGTGTTGTAGCGAGCATCTGATAAAAGCAAACAATTATGGTCATTTAAAAATTTTTACAAGTTTAGAGGCTGATATATTTAAAAAAATATATACCGGTACGTGTAGGATACAAAGACAATGAGAGACAATACTTAATAATGCAATAATCACCAGAATAGTTTCTCTGCTTTGTGCCATGTTTAAAAGGTTAAAGTTTACCTCATCTTGGCAACTCGGGTATCACAAATTTTATTTCCAGTTCTCCAGTAGAAATCATGACATGGGTCGGTGTTCATGTGCAATTTTGATTTTGATTTTTGGTATTTACCATAACTATGATACCACATGAAGGCAGGTTAAATATTTAAACACTTACCCAAAGTATAAAGAATCTGGTATTTGTGTAGTTTGTTAAAAGCAGCTATCTGATTTATGCTGAGTAAATATTGTCTTTAAAATGTCCATTCAATTATGTGGAAAACTGTTTTCTTGACCGTCTGAACACAGGAGAATGGTTTTACCTGAAATAAGGACAGTCCGACTGCTAACAGGGGAAGAAGTTGCTGCTTTAACAGCAGTCAGCTTGTTTAATTGATCCAATTTGTTTTGCTAAAATATGATTTTTCTCCTATGGGATTTTTTTTGTTGCCTCTATGTTTAAAGTTTTAAGACTTCATTGTTCTTTCAGTTAACGACTGTCTTAAACTTTATAGGTCTCAATTTGACAAGTGCTCCATCTAGTGGCATAACCAGGGAAATGTAATCTTATTTTTAATCCAACTAGTTAGATTGAGAACACTTCTCAACAACTCAAACTATAAATATATTCACGGATATAAACCTTGACCTATAAATTAATTCCCTGCAGGCATTAATACTGTGGAAAAACAGGTGGATTTTTTTTTTATGTGTTTGTTGTCCTGGCACATATTTATTGATGGATGGATCCAAATAAATGATTGAATATCTTAATATAAGTCTGTATGAATCATTTGATACAATGCCAACAAACTGCCTCTAGTTTACAAAGTAATTATTCTTCTCTTGGGATCACGGTATAAAAATGTTTAGTGAGAGCTAATTTGATTTCTTGAAGCCTCCCATTTCTGTTTTCTGAAAGATTTCTGTAGACAACGCCACAAAGAGACCAAACTTTTGCTTTTCTTGCAGGCAGAGGTCAGCCCACTCCTCTATAAGACGGCAGACGGGAATAATTAAAAGGAACTACAACATTGGAGGCATTGATGGAATAAACAGAAGCTCTGTAACCACAAGTCTGGCTGTTTGGGAAAAGCCCTGGAATCTCTGGATTATTCTGTTTATAACATGAATTGCACAAAATCAACTGACTATTTGTTTTGTTATAGTTTTTTTTTTTTTTTTTTACTGGAACTGGACTGACGGTGTTGACAAAGTACTGTTGATGTACTTCTCAACTGCCCACATGTAATCACCTGTTTTTAATGTGAGTGGAATGGATGCAGACATGAAGAAACACAGCTTGTACATCCATGACTGAACTTTCCTTTGTCACACTGTAAACCCTTAAACTGGAATCTAAATGAAGGCCCTTTAACACCTTCCTATATGGAATGATCATGTGACTCCCATTTTTAAAATGTGATGCAAAGTGAGTTAGGTTGAATAACCTAAAGTAGCCTGACTATTCTTAAACCTTACTATAACTTTTAACATTACTTTCATCATTTTGGTTGTGTGTTTACAGTTCTGCATGAAGAAAACATAAGTTATTGTGTTGTTTGCTAAGAAGGAGGGTGATACTCTAGTTTTATTTCAAAGTTTATGAACCTTATAAACTTTTGCAAACATGTCTTCATATTTCTTTTTACGAGAATGGGTCTGCATGTTATTAATTAATATATACTTAAAGTGTTTTCCGTTTTGATGTTTTAGCTTTTTGTTCTTCTCATACTGCTTTTGAATCAGTGCCTTATGTATGTAATGAATGCAACATTGAGGTGTTTTACGCTCAGTTTGACCTTTGGGTCAAGGCACAATGTGTGTTTGAGTGCGTGCATGTCTGAATGTAGTGTCCGATTAAATCAAACTATTTCATACCAGCAAATGTCTGATTAACACAAATTTTCCCCTCAGTAAACCACTCTATACCTACTAAGCCAGTAACATAAAGTTTATTGTTGTTAGATGACAAATCCAATTATCCTAAAGCCTCTCCTTCTTTGCCTCCATCACTAGCGCTGCTTCCCTACTGATTCCTTCCTCTGTCTCAGCTTGGTGTAAACACCTCACAGCCATGTTACCCCTCTGAGGAACAGAGCTCTGATTGTCTTTTATAAAAACTGTATGTTTATCAATAAAACAATGGAATCGGATGCGGGTGTTTATTTCCATTCATTCAATGTGGATTCAATGAATGAGCGATAAACTATTGGTTTCTAAGCCGAAAAACTGTGAAAGAATCAGTGGAGAGCTAAGTAATTGTGTTTGCTTAGTCTGACCTAATTTCCGTCTTAAGAAATCAACTTGATTTTCTATAGCAGAGGCTCGCTCCGGTGCTAAACTGTTAATGTGTACTAACTACTACGGAAGCCAGAGAGTGTCCTAAATGTAACAGCACCAAAATAAACATCTGTGTTATATTGAATTATCTTAGCTGTCCAGCAGGAAGCTTGCAACCTCTGCATCCATTTTTGAGCTCTGCCTCGTCATGAATTATCTCCATCTGGTAAAACCTACTCCAAGATAGACTCTTGTTTTTCTCTGTTACATTTTTGTTTTTCTTCCCTCTTTTTAAGCAAAGAGTATTGTTGATCCTTCATTTAAAAAGTAAGAATTATCTATTATTGTATAATAATTTTGTCACCTTTTGACTACCTTGATCAAAGATTGCAACACAACATGGTGTTTTTCATCTGGTGCAGTGCCACCTATGTATTTATAAACAGTTCAGAAAAGTCTTAAGTTTTTATGCTGTTGTGATTAGACGTTGGTGAAATATATATTTATGAAAGAAATACTAGTTTTCTTACTGAAAATAACTCAGACTAGAATCACTGGAGCCATATCCAGTAACTGACTTTTCTTCTTTCCAAAGGCATCCGACATTATTGTTAGATTTTATTTATTTATTTATTTGAATAGGGACAATGCACATTAATGAACATCAGTATAAAAACAAATGTAAATATGCCGGATTATAGCTACAAAGCTAGTTTCCATCCGTAGTCCCTAGGCAGGCAAATACATAAGAAAGAACATAACATACAATACAAGCATCACAAGGTAATGTTAAGAGTTTAGTGGTTACATGACTGGTTACATGATATTTAACTCTGAAATTCTAGACTTACCTTCAAAAGGTTTTGTCTATGCATTAGTTTAGAACACCGAGAGTACCAAGAGCACTATTACACAAACCCACATGCAGAGGAAGATGCAAACTCCACATACAAAAGGCTTAAGAAGATGTTTGAAATATCCACCTCTTTTTCAAGATGTTTTTTTTTTTTTAACTCGTGAGGAGTTATTTCAAAAGGTTTTGAACCCTGTATTGGTTCTGCTTTTCTGCTTTTCTTCACTGAACTACGTGATTAGTTCCCAGTTGTCTAGAACTGGTTCCCTTTTCAGGCCATCTGCTTTTTTTTTTTTGTATTTCTGTAAAGCATTTGTTATACCGTATATATATGTTGTATCAGAAACACAAAAAAATATTGTTTTTATCATAGAGAAAATAATACAACTACCCATTTGTGAAAGGTCAAACCAGGGATCTGCGACACGTGGAAAATACACCTAAGCCAATTATTATTCATGCTAACCCAACATTTCTCTTCTGACTGGAATAAATATATTTTGGACTGACTCAACAAGAGTCAAGACTTGAATGTGTGCCAAGGGTTAAAGATTAGGGTGATGGAAAAAGGCTTTCCAACCTCAAAGGCTATGAGCTTCTTAGTGATGATAACTTTGTTATTATTACTTTTTTAATCCTTGACCACATGAGAAAAAATGGAGAAATATTTGCTTGCTCTGTTAGAAAAACCGGATGAAAAAAGAAGCAGATGTACAGACGGCGTGCTAATTCCTCTGGAATGGAGGCACAGAGGTTTGCTTAGATATGCAAAATAGTTATACAAAGCACTGAGAAAACAATCAGGTTGCAAAGGAGATTACTGGTTTATGCTTATTACATGCATATCCACTTGTATCATAACAGCAAAGGATGACAATCCACTAATGCATCTAGCCCAGGAGTCAGACTCCAACAGAGGTCTGATCTCCCACAAAACATTAGGCTGAAAGAAACAATGACCTGCTTTACAGTTTTAGATATAGGTACAACAAATGCAGCATAATTTTTTTAATGGAATGATTGCATAATTATTTTTTCATAGAAGAAAAGCTTTTCATAATTTTATTTCTTTTTGCAAGGGTTTAAATTTTTCTTACTTTAAACTAAAAATAAAGGAATGCAACTATAGAAATATATTTATATAGTTAACTTTTATTGAAAATTATAATTTGCCATTTTCAACGGGTCATGTAACATTTGCGGCTCTAGAATACTTTTATTAATTCAAACTGCAGGGATATGGCTCTTCTTCAGAACAGGGGTAGGATTTAATACGTTTTATTACTTCTTCCTGCTCCTTTTCGAACATGATGGTATGTACATATGTTTTTTCTTTTTCTTCCTTTTTGTTTTGTTATGACTTTATTAATTTACTAATATTTGCTTTTTATTAAGTGCTCGAAATAAATGATCAATCAATCAATCAATCAATCAATGGTAAAATATCTATAAAGATCCCTGCTAACCTCCTGGTCATGGTCGACGGGTCGGGAAGGCCGGAAAGATTGCATGTGGATGGTCGTTTGGTGCATGGCGCGTGTTTTGAAGCTGCTTATGGAGAAATGTCTTGGGCCGTGAGTAGTGAGGAAACAGGAAGCGATTCTTGTGGGATGGAAGAGGGAAATAGTGACAATGAAGGTTGGAAGATAGCAACATCAAAAAATGAGAAAAAGCGGAAAAAACAGAGATCAGTTCAAGGGGAATCTAGTTCAGAACAATCCAGTGATGATCATTCCATACATTCCACAGCACAACAAAATGAATTCAAAGTCATATTCAAAGTCGTTAATCAGGCAGACTCTTTTACAAATTGGAATCCGGTTCACTTAACAAAAACCATCAATAAACTTGTCGGAGAAGTCAGAGGTGCCAGAATTCTGTACAGTGGAGACCTGCTAATTATCTGCAGAGACAGCGCCCAGCAAGGCAAAGCAATACGGATCAACAAAATTGACGGGATAAGAGTTCAGTGCAGCTTAATGGAGAACAAAAAGTTCAGCAGGGGAGTCATTGGAGGAGTTCCTCTAAAAATTTCTGAAAAAGAGATTCTGGAAAACATAAGAGGTGCAAAAGTAAAAGAAGTAAAACGGTTAAAAACAACAAGAAACGGAGAAAGATCTGACAGTTTATCTGTGCTAATTAAATTCGAAGAAGAGCAATTACCAAGCAAAGTATTCATCGGTTACATAAGCTATAATGTCAAAATCTACAATCCTCCACCATTGAGATGTTTCAAATGCCAAAAATTCGGTCACATTGCAGCAGTTTGTAAAGGGAAACAGAGGTGTGGAAGGTGTGCAGGAGAACATGAGTACGGAAAATGTGGAAAAGAAGCTAAAATAAAATGCTGTAATTGTGGTGGAGAACATACTGCTGCCTATCGCGGCTGTGAAGCAAGCAAAAGGTCTGAGGAAATTAAAAAAATGAAATTTGAGCTCGGAATAACCTACGCTGAAGCTGCAAAAAGGATCCCATCTCAGTCAGAAAACCCCAAACCTACAGTTCAACACACAGCAAATTCCAAACCTCTAGAGAAATCTCTAAAAATTGATGAAGACTCACTTATTGTTAAAAAGACAAATTTTGTTCTTTTCATGGTAGAAGTTATTAATTGTACTGCACAGACAACAAAAAAAACGGAAAAAATCAAAATAATAGTGAAGGCTGCAGAAAAATATCTGGACATTAAAGATTTGAACTGGGAGATGGTTGGAAGTATGATGGGAGGACCGATGGGACCATCAGAAACTGGCAGAGTTAAGATGACCTAGAGTAAATTAAAATTATATGGGCAAATGTGATTTAGTATTATGTTGGTTTAAGTTACACAGGTTTTTTTTTTTTTTTTTTTTTTTTTTTTTTTTTTTTTGGGGGGGTGA